ATGCTGCGATCTTAAAGAACTTTATTGAAAAAGATAGTTTTATGATTTTCTTGCAGGACTCGATGCAGAATTTGACCAAGTTAGTGTTCAGATCCTCGGCAAGGAGGAGATGCCATCACTCAACGAAACCATTTTCTCTCATCCCCGTAGAGAAAGTCGATGAGGAGTAATGTTAGAACCAAAGACAGTTGAAAGCTCAGCAATGATGATGAACAAAGAATCGTTATGGAAGGAGAAGGGTAAAGATCCTTCTAAGTTCAAAGACAAGGACTCACTTTGGTGTAGCTATTGCAAAAAGTCAAGACACACAAAGGAAACATGCTGGAAAAATACATGGAAAACCCCAGCAAGGAGTGGAATCAAAAGGGTGAAACAAGGAGCACATCAATGCCACAACACTACAGTAAGCCAGAAGCACGGTCCAGCCTTGGAGAATTCAATAAAGAAAGATATTGAAAATTAAAACACTCCTGGTATCTCTTGAAAAACAAATGCTCTTCTTCACTTGCACTCTCAGGTAAGACTCAATTTCTTTCAGTTTAAGTGCTTCCAGAAATCATCTAAAGGAATTATGGATAATTGATTCAAAGAGCCACAAATCATCATGACCACTACACTCCTACCCACCTCATAAACTATACTCCTTGCCCAAACAACAAGAAAATCATCACTGCTGATGGTTCTCTTACCACGTTAGCTGGCCAAGGAGACATCATATTATCTCCTTACTCACCCTGAAAAACGTCCTCCAATACACAAATATCCACAAATCTAATATCAATACAAAACTTACAAATGACCATAATTGTCAAGCCTATTTAACCCTACTTATTGCTTATTTCAGGACCAGAGATCGGGAAGAAGATTGGACTTGCTAATGAGAAAGCAGGATTGTACTACCTGGAAGAACCAAACCAATTTAATAATAGTTGCTCTATGTTATCCCTAGTAGATAGGAATCCACTTTTGGCTTCATCATTATAGACTGGACATCCGTCTTTTGATATCCTAAGACATATGTATCCACAACTGTTCAGAAAATAGAAAATAAAAATTTTCATTGTGAAACCTGTGAGTTGGCTAAACATAAAAGAACCTCATTCCAACAAAGTGAGAGATGTGACACTCCTTTCTACCTTATTCATAAATTTATATGGGGACCCTAAAAAATCAATATCTCTGGGGCACGCTGGTTTGTGTCTTTCATTGATGATCGCACTAGAGTCTCTTGGTCTATCTCCTTAAAAATAAATCTGATGTTAGCACCATTCTTCCCATCTTTCATTCCATGTCCAAAATTAATTTGGGGTAAAAATACGGAGATTCCGCTCCGATAATGCCAAAGATTTTCAACCAAACCCTTTTCTCATACTTTCAGAATGAAGGGATCATCCATGAGTCCTCATGTGTTCACACCCACAAACAATGGGGTTGCAGAGAGAAAAAATGGTTACCTTCTAGCCACCACCCGAGCCTTCCTACTTCACTACAATACACCCAAATCCTATTGGGGGGAAGCTCTTTTAATTGCAGCATATCTCATAAACCGATTACCTTCAACAGCTTTAGGCCTCAAAACTCCAATGGAGACCTTGTCCTCTTTTTACCCAGAGTTTCGAACCCATCATAATATTGCACCAATCTTTGGATGCACTGCCTATGTTCATATCCACAGCCATGAGCGAGGAAATTAGACCAAGAGCACTCAAATGCATCTTTGTTGGTTATTCAGCTACTCAAAAGGTTATAAGTGTTATCATCCTCCCACAAGAAAAACCTTTGTTTCTATTGATGTTACCTTTGATGAGAAAAATTCCTATTTCTCAAAAACTCATCTTCAGGGGGAGACTGAACTTGAGGAAGATGAGGAAATTGAACTAGCACCTCTTGACATTCCTCCACCACCTCAAAACAATCCACCTGAAACCCAAGAAAGGGAAACAAATGACAACGTTATTAGATTTGAAAAGATTTACTCCAGACGTACAAGCTCAAGCTGTATTCCAAAAGCAGATCCAAGAATCTGAACCATCTCCTGGAAATAAGGATAGTTCACCACCACCCTTTATACCCTATAAACACTCAATATCCTTAACAATTTTCATCGTCACACAAAAATTTCCTTGTTACATTAGAAGATATCCATATTCCTAGATGTTTATGAGGCCTTATCTGATAAAAATTAGAAAATGCATGAAGATGAAATGCAGGCCCTGGAGAAGAACAAAACATGGGAGATCGTCAATCTATCGATAGGGAAAATCGATCGGCTGCAAATGGGTGTTATCATTAAAATACAAAGCTGATGGCACACTGGAGAGATATAAGGCAAGACTAGTGGCAAAAGTGTTTTACTCAAACGTATGTCATTGACTACCAAGAAACGTTTGCACCTGTGGCCAAAATGAATACTGTTCGAATACTATTCTCACTAGCAGCCAAGTACAATTGGCACCTTTGAACAACTGGATGTGAAAAATGCATTCCTACATGGGACTTAGAAGAGAGAATTATTTATGGAAATACCACCAGGCTTTAAAGAACTCTGAAGGTAACAAGGTGTGCAAACTGAAAAAAGCTCTATATGGGCTCAAACAATCACCAAGGGCCTGGTTCGGAAAATTCTCTAAATTCATGCTCTTGAATGGGTATCAACAGAGTCAAGGGGATCATACACTATTCTTCTAACACTCAGACTCAGGGGGAGTCACAATATTATTAGTGTATATTGATGATATTATTTTGACTGGAAGTAATGAAGAGGAGAAAGCCAGTTTAAGAAAAATCTTGCTAAGGAATTTGACACATAAGAACTTGGTAGACTAAAATATTTTCTCTGAATTGAAGTAGCTCACTCCAAGAAGGAATCTTCATTTCACAACAGAATACATCAAAGATCTTCTAAAAGAAACAGGTAAACTTGCTTGTAAGCTAGCACAAAAACCAGTAGAACCTAACTTAAACTGGGAGAAGCTAAAGAAGATCCAGATGTAGATAAATGGGCCTACCAGAGACTTGTAGGAAGTTGATCTACCTCTCCCACACTAGACCAGACATAGCATTTGCTGTAAGCATGGTCAGTCAGTTTATGCAGAATTCAAAGAAGATTCACATGCAAGCGGTAGACAGGATATTGCACTACCTTAAAGGAAGACCAGGAAAATGAATTATCTTTAAGAGAGATCGTGGAATGACCCTAGAAGTATACACGGATGCTGACTACGCAGGATCACCGGTTGATAGAGATCTACCTCTGGGTATTGCACATTTCTTGGAGGTAACCAGTTACATGGAGAAGCAAGAAATAGAATGTCGTGGAAAGATCTAGTGCAGAGGCAGAATATCGAGCTATGGCCTTGGGAATATGTGAGCTACTGTGGATCAAAATAATCCTAGAAGATCTGAAGGTTAAGTGGATGAGCCATGAAGCTACATTGTGACAAAAAATCAGCAATCAGCATAGCCCACAATCCAGTCCAGCCTGACAGGACCAAGCACATAGAAGTGGACCGACATTTCATTAAAGAAAAACTAGACAGTGGTCTAGTAAGTGTTGACCATGTATCATCAAAGGATCAACTTGCAGATTTCCTTACTAAAGGATTGGACAGTCTGTCTTTCTCCGTATGATTGTCAAGCTGGGAATGACAGATCCATATTTCCCAGCTTGAGGGGGAGTGTTGAAATCCAGCCGTTCCTAGTACAAAGGATCTGACGGACACAAAGATCAATCCGTGCTCTCATGGATCACGCCATAATGAGGGAACGAATTTAGGAAAGATTTTATTTTCTTATTTGTGTATTAAATCTGTAATTTATTATTTCCTCATTAGGATATCTTGTATAGATCTATAAATAGGGAAGATTGTAATGAATAAAGACAAGCTTTTCTCTCATAAATCTCTAGTTTTAACATTCACCATAGGAATGGTCTTAAATAGTTTATAGGAATTACATCATAAATGTCTAATTGTTTTAACCGTTTTTGTCGATATCGAGCCATTCACTCATAACCAGGGATTGATTTATATTCTATTTGAGATTTAGGTTTATAGATGAATAATATTTTATTTTTGATTCTTGTTTTAAGTCTTTCTTTCTGGAGCAATTTCATGAACTTGTTCTTGTAGGTTTCAAGCAATTTCATTAACTTTTCTGTAGGTTTACTTGACAGATATTATATGCATCACCATAATGTAGTGCGACTAAAGAAACTGGTTCAAGCATCAAATGTTTTATTCACTTCAACATGATAATCTTTTCTCGCACACTTACACTATTTGAATGCATGTCTTGTGCTATTTTACTCTGTCAATTCATTATTATGGTTGCCAAAGTAAAAGATTTGACTGACTATGATAGTGGGTTTACATTACTATTTGCCATAAAAAAGTAACCAAAAACACTACAGTATTTGCTGGCTAATCATTTTGTATTATATGTGGGCGGGCCTAAAAATAATAATTAGATTGCCTCAGTTGTACTGGACGTTGTGTTCAAATCATAGAAAATAGCCTATATATATTATATTGATATAGTATATATATATATATATATATATATATATATGTATGTATATATATATATTGTATGTATAATATATATATGTATGTATATATATATATTATGTAATACATTATATGATATATATATGTATGTATAATTAATTATATATATATATATAGGTAAAACTACCATCATTAACTCCTCCCATTGCATGACCGGAGCCTCGTGCATGCTTTTTTAATTCATCATCATTTAATTTTATCTATATTACTTTGGATTAACTTTATGATTATCCTTCTCCATCATTTCTTTTGAGTGCTGCTTTGGAGTTAATTCATTGCACATGCATACTCGTCCACCTAATTATATGATATTGTTATTTAAAGTTGTAAGATTGCATTGCTGCAAAGTTTATATCTGTAATTTGTTGGAACTTAAAACTGTTTTTATGGAGCAGTAGATTTTGTTCCAATGACCTTTTTCTCTAAAAACAGATTAAGCCCCCATCATCTTCCCATGGGCGTTTTACTCAAATTCTCTCTGTGGGTATCGGAGGGTCAGCTCTTGGTCCTCAATTTGTTGCTGAAGCATTAGCCCCTGATAATCCTCATCTGAAGGTGAAACCTTTTTTCTTTATCCAAGTTCGTTATTGTTTAAACATATTTCCTATTTTTTTAGCTCTACTAATTATGGATAATCGATACTTACGCTATATATGTTAATCTAATCTACTTTTTGTTTTAATCTTTCTTAGATAATACTTAATTTCCTTCGTTATTTGTAATCATCCATGTATAACATCCAGAGATATATTCTGTTGATAAATACTAAGCACACTGAAAAGCAAACCAAAAATTCCTCTGAATGGGGGTGAAAAAAGACTTTTGCTCCCTCTCTTATAAGCACCTCAGATAAAGGTGAGGGAGGGTAGAAAGGTCATTTCTGCTCAATTTGATGAAAATTTTGGCGTTCTTTTCGGCCTCCATAACATTGCTCATTTCTTTTGCTTTTATCTGTTTTCATATTTGTTTTTTGTAATAGCACTGAATACTTAATTCCTTGCATTTTCTCTTGCGGCTACATCATTCTTCTTCGTAACACACTTTCCTTCAAAGTATTTTTTAAGGGAGTTCAGTTAGTGAATTGCAGTTGCGTGTTTATCAAATTTTACCATATTTTCAAAGACGTTTAATGCCCGTAATTTTTTGTTCCATGATGCTTTGAAAAATCATTAACTAATAGGTTGAGTTTCATGCATAATTCACAGTAATATTATTTGATGCATTTTAAAAATGCTAATGTGCTATCTTTGCAATGTTCCATCTTTTTGTCACTGCACCAGATACGGTTTGTTGATAATACAGATCCAGCTGGGATAGATCATCAAATTGCTCAACTTGGAACCGAATTAGCATCCACTCTTGTAATTGTAATATCGAAGGTAAAAATCGTTGCACATCATCTTCAAATTCTATTTAGGTAAATTTGAAACATGATTAAATTTGGTTTTTAAAATTGATATTGCATCCAGAGTGGAGGCACTCCTGAAACTCGAAATGGTTTGTTAGAAGTGCAAAAAGCATTTCGAGATGCTGGCCTAGAATTCCCGAAACAGGTTGTGGCCTCAGGTTTTTGTTTCTGCTTTTTATCTTCTGTTGTAAACTTTTTTCCTTTCATTTTGAGTTGATGGTAAATTTTTAGCCAATCCTGCATAATGAGATAAAAACTTTTTTTTTTTTTAATGAGAAAAAGACTTGATGATGTTGTTGTTGTCATCTTTGTTTCACCCAATTCTTACTAACAGTTATTCCTATGACCTAGGTTAAACTATTATGGCCTCTGAAAAAATCCCAGCTTGGATCTATTATACTAGAGAGTCGTTATTTGGGTTAATTTTTTAAAAGACATATTAGATAGTAGATAGTAGCTAAAGCTTTACCTGGAGATTTCTCATATAGAGGACTTCATATTCTTGGTTAAGTCTTCCTATATGTGCAAGCACACATGATAAATTATCCCTCATAATTATAAGAGATAATTTTTGATTAATGATAGTTTGTAGGATCTATGATTCTTTTCTTTGGTGGTATCAATTTGGATCGGGGAGAGAAAGATACATCATTACTTGCTCATATAGATAGTTGGAGAATGATGGAAAACTTGATCAGATAATCAAGATCTCATGATTTTGTTATCCTAATTTGTCACAGACCATAATCTACTTAATTAAAAGAGATAGTCAGCCTAACTTGGTTGCATAATCATTGTCAATAGCCATGAGTTGCATTGCTAAGAAAATCTTGTAGAACTGGGGGAAAACTTATCAAGGTGATTAATTTCAAGGTGACCTTGTCCAAAGGACTCCATGTGTTGTTAAGTGTGCTTTATGATTGAAAACTCATAAACTTAGCCATTGTGTAATATTTTGACCCTTTGTTTGATTATCACGGTTCAGAACCGCATGTTAGGCATGACCACTCAACTTGAAGGGACTTTGCCATGGTTTTCTCTATTATTATATTTTTTAGTGTAATCATATTAATGAAAAAGATATTCCAAAAATCCTTATTGAGCCTTAGTTATTGAACAGCCACCCTTGGCAATTGATAGCTATGGGCATAAATTAGCCAGTTATTTCTTGGACTTTTTGGCTTTCATATATCTTTATTTTTTTGCATTATTTTCTTTTTCTTTCGTGCGCGGGCGCGCGCGCCGGGGGGGGGGGGGGTTTGAATGGAGTCTGGAACTAGGAAAATGGGTTTCTTGAAGGTTTTTTTTTTTTAAAATTGAAATGAGTATTTTTATGAAACGGATCCTCTCCACTTATGATTTTTTATGATCAAACACATTATCGGGGGAACGCTTTGGACTAGTTTGCTTGATTTGAAGTTGGTAATATTAATGACATTGTCTTTTGCTAGAAACCCTTTTGATTATGATATGAAGCAATCGTACCCATCATAGTGGTTAATGATCAAAATATATTTATCTTTTTGATTTGTTGGGTGATCTTTAACATAGTTATTGCCAGGTCCCAAGACTTTAGATGAGCAAAATGAAGGGTTGCATTAGGTAATCGACAACCAGCTTAAAACTTGTAGAATATTCAAGATATTAATCCTTTAATATATTGTGTTAATGTTAGGGCATTTTCTTAAAGCGAAGTGCTGTATGATCTTGATACAACAAAAAGTGTACAAGGGGACCGCTACACTGGTGTTGGGTGCAGTTTTAAGTAAGCAAAGGTTCCCACATGATGGATGGATATGGGCAAAGAAACTCTTCCGTGAAACTAGAATTAGGATAGAAACATGAAATATGGGGTTCTCTTATAGACAAATTTATAAAAACTAATAGATCTTATGATTTATAGGAAGATAAATATTATATGCATTTGGTAAATTAAATTAGGTAGAGAAAAAGCTAAGGAGATTGAATGTTTAAAATTTATTATGGTATTTAGATAGACGCCATATTAGAAATATGATATGTGTGATTATAAATAAGAGTTTGAAGGATAATGTTGTCAAAATTAATATAATTGAAGATAAAATTATAATTTTAAAAGTTGTTATTGATGATAAGATTATTAATATTAAAAGTATTTATACTTCTCAAGTAGGTTTGAATATGTTTTCAAATTAAAATTTTATAATACTTAGAAGAATTAATACAAAAGATACATTTTGAAGAAACATTTTGTATTTGAGGAGATTTAAATAGACATGTTGGTAAAATAGTAGAAGATTTTAAAATCATTCATGGTGGCTATAAGTTTGGAGCTACTAATGAAGATGATATGATCATATCATATTTTGCTCTAATTTATAATTTTATAATTGTTAATATCTTATTTTGTAAAAGAGAGATGCATATCATGATAGATATATTAAAACTCAGATTGATTATTTTTTAATAAGAAAAATGGATCATTTAGATTATAGAGATTGTAAATTTATTTTGCGTGAATGTTTATGTACCTCGTATCATTTATTACTTTTAAATTTTATGATGAAGCGGCGAAATATGAAAAATAAATTAAAATGTTATTATAGGATTAGATGATGGCATTTAAAACATACAAACAAAAATAATTTTGAGAGTAATATTCATTATCTCAAAATTTTGATTATGTATGAGAAAACTAATGTTATATGGTAAAAGTAGTTAATGATATTAAGAATCTTATAAAATATATATTTGGAGTAAAAAAAGGTAAAACTCATAATAGTAAAAGTAAAAATGGACAGTGATAAAATCAAAATGTACAAAAAAGATAAAAAAGAAGAAGTTTTGTTATAAAAATTGATTTTGATGTGAAAGCTCAAATAATTGAAAAAGATACAAGGGTGCTCATAAGAAGTTTTGACAATTTTGTGTTTGATTGGATGAAAAAGGAATCCAAAATAAGTAAATTTAGTGTAAATCATTCTAATTCATTTTTTAAGTAAACTAAATTCATCCAATTTTGAGTGAGAATGATTTACATCACAAACAAGCTTGCTTGATTGCTGCCTATCGCTGTCCGTCTCCACTTGCTGCAAGCTGCCTCCTGTAGCTGACCACCACTTGCAGTAGACCACCGCTGAATGCCCCCATTGCTCACTGTCAGCCTTCACCGCCGCCCGTTGCCACTCGTCATTGGTAGCTGTCCCCCTCCCTCCCCCTGCTCAGTCGCTGGTAGCCACCTGCCACTATCTGCTGGCCACTGCAGGCTGAAGCCTCCACTCACCGCCGACCATTTTTTGACTTTACACTACATTCATTACTTCAAATCAAACAAAGAAAATCATTCACTTGCATTTATTCGATAATCTTTTTAATGTAGATTGTGAGAATACGGTTGACTTTAGTGATATTAGCATCCTATTTGAAAATAGAGATTTTTGTTTTGATAGTTATATAAGTAAAATTGAAATTTAGAGATGATTTTAAAAAAATGAAGTGTGGAAAAGCAGTTGGACTAAATGATATTCTAATGGAGGGAAATTCTTAGGAGATGATTAAAATTCTTGGCTTACTAAACTTTTTAATATTATTTTGAAAACTAAAAAGATGCCAGATAAGTGATGGTGTGTTTTGGTTCTTATTTGTAAGAGTAAAGGTGATGCACAAGTATGTGTGAATTATAGAAGAATTAAGTTAATGTGTCATACAGGAAAACTATGAGAGGGAATAATTGAGCATATGCTACAACGTGATACTAATATTTCTCAAATTCAATTTCGATTCATACCGGGTAGGTCTGTCGTGGAAGCTATATACTTATTGAGAGGTTTGATGGAGAAATATAGAGAGAATAAAAAGGATTTATATATGATCTTTATTGATTTAGAGAAAGCTTATGATGAAATTTCAAGAGAAATGTTTTGGAGAGTTCTAAAAAAAGAAAGGAGTTAATAATGCTTATATTCATATCATTAAGGATATATATATGCAGTATCTATTACTTGTGTTCAAACATAAGGTGGTTTGACCAACTATTTTTCTATTGCAGTTAGATTACATCAAGGAAGCTTTAAGCCAATATCTTTTTTAATTTAGTTATGGATCTTTGTACTAGACATTTGCTAGAGGATGTACCCTAGTGTATGTTTTTTGCTATGTTAAGAAAGGTAGAGGTAGACCTAAAAAGTTTTGGTTAGAAAATATTAGAATGACATTTTTTATTAGATTTAAATAAGAATTTGATTCTTAATAGGACAATGGAGAAAAAGATTCATACAACTTGCCCCATGTAGTGGGATAAAGACTTGATGTTGTTGTCGTTGTAATCTTTGATGATAACCCTTCTAGTTACTGCATGAAATAATTTCACCCATCATAAATGATAAGACTCGAAGTATATGAGTCTTTGTGGTATGGACTTTTTATGATATTGCAAACCCCTCTAGTTATGATTTGCAATAATGAAACAACCATTGGAGTGAAGATGTTTGGAGAATGCATTTAACGATTGGGGGCTTGATTGTAATGAGTATCTACTTTGTTTTGATTGATAATAACCTGCTCATTATCAAAGAGCATGGTGCTTTAAGTTTATTATTTAAATTTTAATCGAGCGATTGGGCATTGTTGACAACCCCTCCCGTTATGATTCTCTAGTGATTGCACCCATCATGAGAATGAAGAATCTCAAAATTAAAGATAAGACTTAGTTGGGTTGATTTATTTGATGTAATCATTGGCTTTTTAAACAATTATGAAGTTTTTGTTTCGTTCAATTGATGTTGCTTGCTAAATTAGAAAAAGCTACATTATATCAACTTTACTGGCGAGTATGTTGAATGGGGGCCAACTTTGTGTGGGCATCTTGTCTTGTTAGAGGGGAAGACCATAAGAAACTCAAAGTTCAATCTTTTTTATCTCAATTGGTCCTAAGCTAGTAAATTGGTTATTTTTTATGTTTTTTTGGTTAGCCTTGTGAAGCTTTGCAAACTTTAGAGTTCTTTCCTTGTTGACGTTTTTTTCTTGATCGAAGAGATTGAACCTCGACAATTTTGCTGTTTTAGCACCATGAAGTTATTTCCTTGATTGAAGGGATTGAACCTTGAAAATTTTGCTGTTTTAGCACCATGACTTCTATGGATTCTAATTCTATTGGTTTTGATATGTTGCATAATTTTAGAAGATGTTTAAGGTGTGCGCCTCAAGGTGCGCCTCGATTTGAGGCGCAACTTGGATGCCTCGAGGCTTAAGCCTCAGTTGTTTGGCTGAGGCTTAAGCCTCAGTTGTTTGGCTGAGGCTTACGATTTTCTTCATTGAGGCGTTACGCCTCGAGGTAGTTTGAGGCGCTGCCTCGATCAATTTTATTTATTTATTTTAGTTATGAAGAGTCGAGAACACTTATTAGATTTAGAGCTTCGTCGGTTCGAAACATTTGTTCCAATCTTCGCCCCCCTTCTACAGCTCTTAGCTAAGGAAACACTCTCTCGGCTTCATATGCATTGCTTCAGCCTCGCTTGCTTCGGCCTTGACTGCTTCAGCGTCGATTACTTCGGCCTCGCTTCGTGTTAGGACGAGTTTTTCGTGACGAGATAACAATCCATCTTCCCTTTCGAGCTCGTATAGGCTTTAGTAGCTTCGTGAGAAGCAATAATGAAATTTAAGACGTGCATTTCTTACATGATTTATTTTAAAGTTAGATCAGCTTAATTTATATTTATTAAAGTTTAACAACTTCATCTTACTCTATTGCTTTTTCTAGTTTAGTTTAAGCCAGAAGAAATCAGTTGGTCACGTAAAATAATATTTTTCATAGTTTCTTAAGCACCGAGGTATAAATTGTATTTCTTATAGCTTTCTTCTTTTTGAATACACAATTTTTTGCTATCAGGTCTCTTTAATTGCTACGACATATTTTTGAATGAATTTTACCACAAATAATTCTTTTTCATTTGAATTGTATTTGCTATTACTTTTGATTTTTTTTTAAAATATATGATTGAGTTGCCTTCATATCAAGATCTTTTCGTAATTTATATTATTGAATCGTATGGAGGCATTATTTAGAAGGGCTAAAATTGGGTTGATGGAGAAAAAAGTAATTTTTTTTGTGAGTAGTTTTTTTGAATCTTGTGTTCCAATAACATTTATCTTCAAACAAATCATTATATTCTTAATTTACTTAATATTTTATCATTTTATGAGTTATTTATAATTTTTAGTACTTTATTTTTTCAGTTTTTAGGCTTACACATCGATCTTCCTCGAGGCGTACGCCTTGCCTCACTAATATAAAATGCCTTGATTCCCATATTGCCTTTTAAATCTTGATCTGTTGACAACCTTGCACATCATTAGGATTTAGGAGTAGTCTCTAGAGGATCTTGTTTTATTTGAAGTAGGTTAACTGGTAATATAAGCGTTATTGAAAATATCTTCAATTATGATTTGCAATAATTTGACCCAACATTAAGTAGAATTGGGCATTGGGAGAGTTATCTTAATGGTTGAGGGCAGTTTATTTGTTGTTAACTAGCTATGATTTTCAATAACTGTACCCATCATAGGTGTTTGGATTATCTTGGCATTTTGATGCACAAATCGGGGTAATGGACACGTTGATATGAATCTGATGGATTGGCTGAGATGCCAATCAACCCAACCCCAGTAGGGGGGGGGGTGGGTGGTCTAGCTGGCGGGTAGAAGAACCCTGTGGGCCCCATTAGTGTGGGCGGCTAGCAAGGAGAGGGGAGCTCAAAGGAGATTAATTATACTTTTAATTATTTACCATAGAAAACCAAAATTCGGAGAGAATTATGAAGGTTTATTTAGAGAAAGAGGGCTAATTTGAATACAGATTTGGGAGGGAATTAAGAAGGTTTATTTAGAGAAAGAGGGCTGATTTGAATTCATATTTGGAAGGGAATTAGGAAGGTTTATTTATGATTAATTAGGTTGTTTATTTTTCATTATGTGATTTTGTGTTTTGGAGTAGTTTTCTTTGGAGTTGTTCCTAGCGGCGCCTAGAGTTTGTGGAGAGTCGATCTAATTCTTGAATAGTAGATTAACTTGTATCTTGCCAATATCAAAAAAATTAGCCCATAATATCATTCTTTCTTTCTGATTTATGCTGTGCTCTCTTCGTTATTGCTGTTTTTGGTTGTGTGGAGATTAGATTCCTATCAAATTAGTATTAGAGTACCTTTTTTGGGATCTATGGAAGCTAACAAGGTTGATACGTCGCAGGAGCAGTTTGATTGGAAAATTGAAAAATCAGTTGACTGAAGATGAACTCATTGCAGCTGCTCTATGTCTGGAGGGGAAGGCTTTGTCCTGTTAGCAGTGGAGAGATTTGTGAGATTTGATCCGATTATGTAGGGAGTTCAAAGACTTAATCCACTCCCACCAGTCGTAGAGCTCATTTTGCTTTAAAATGCACTGGTTAATGCTCTAAAGTTAGGGTACCATCAGATCCGGATGAGGCTCGAGGATGTTCCCAAAATGACATTTTGGACTCATGAGGAACACTACGAGTTTTTAGTGATTCTTTTGCCCTCGCTAATGCTCTAACTACTTTTCAGTCTTTCTAAACATGGTATTCTGGCCATATTTACGGAGGTTTGTGTCAGTCTTCTTTTAGGGCTTATGAGAAGCACTTAGAACACTTGGGATTGGTGTTATCCATACTGTAGGACCACCACTTGTTTGCCAATATGAAGAATTGTTCATTTGCCTAGCTTAGAGTGGATTATTTGTGGCACGTAGTATCACAGGAAGTAGTAGCTGACAAAAGCAAAATTTAGGCCATGCTATCACAACCCAACATGATTTTTATCGTGTTGGGCTGTGATAGGAAAATCCAAAATCTAGTTTTTAGAATATTCAGATTCCCTTCCAAATTAAACTTTAAATTAAATAACAAACTATAAAGCTACTAAAAATATCTAAGTGCTAAAAATAATCTCATTAATAAGATTTCTTTCATTTCATTAAAATGTATAAAATACAGTACATGACTATAAGCAGAAACTACAAAATTAAATAATAAACTAGCATTGACTGTACAAAAATCAAAAGAGAAATATCTATAAACTCAGATATGATGTTGAACTGTTAATCACCAAGCTCCTCCCTTTTTCAGATTCTGAAAATCAGAAGTAAAATCATAGTGAGCTACAAAAGCTCAACAGTCCACACAATTTATTTTAAAATTGTAAATTATTTTATTAAATATTTTACTGAATATTTAAAAGCAGTCTAATAAATCATTGTATTGAGAAATGTAATAAAAGCATAATAGTTATTAAGTTATTTAAATAATAATACTGAGCTGATAAATAAAATGATTCATATCATATAGCAATTTATATCACATTTTTGGGACCTAGATAGAATCTCAAAAGATTGTAGCTCCTTATGACTCCCTTTTATGCTTATCACACCACAAAATGTCCATAGGCATCAAAATATGGCTTATAGCCATCATAATATGCCCGTAGACACCACTATTCTTTGATACAGACAATCTCAAATGATTCTGGCCCCTTATATCTCCAAGTGGATATAATTTAATCACATATGCACATTTTTCGTCATATTATAGTAGTTAATGCGTAATCGAGCATGTGCCAGAATTATATAGTTTTCTATAGTGGCAGGAAGTAGAAAATCCTACTAAGCAAAGATGTATATTTTCAATAAATAATCAAATTATTTGGGATTGAATAAAATAGTATTTTAAGTCTTTTATCATACTATTAAACTACTTTTTAGAGTCCAAACAATTTTTTATTCAATAAAAAAGTCACAAAGTTCAAAACTCTCGTTGTAAATTTTTTTACATCATATTCAAAATGTTCATAATCTATATAACATATAAAAAATTTCGTGATGAAAGTTTTATCAGTACAATATTCTCGTCTCTTGGTAACAAAAACCAAAATTTAATAAAAAATTTGGTAAAAATTACGTATTTTTGAAAAATTGAGATAAACATAATGTGACCTATGTGAAGAAAAATAAATTTCTCAATTGGGCTGATGGACAAAAATGGCTCTAAGATCTCCAAAATCAAAATTTTTTGTCTCTCCTCTCTTTACTTCTTACATTTTTCCCTATTGCTTTATGTTAATGGGAATGAGCATAAAATAACTCAAATTTTTTTTTTTCATTGGTGGTAAAGAATTTTTAATAAAATTTTATTATTTTAATAATTTAATTTTTTTTAACAGAAAAATTCATCTAAAATTTTTTATATCTTCAAATCTAGGAATCCAAAAATCATACAAAAATATTCATAAATTAGATAATAATGTCTAAAACACTCTCGTGAAATCGTTTTACAAAACGGATATCTAACAGTCCCCAAATCCTACACTTGTACCGACAAGCATTAATTTTTTAAGGAATTTGACCTAAGCTCAAAAATTATTAAAAGATCTAGTAAAGTAAAGCACAATATTGTATATATTCTTATGAAAACAGTTTGTGATTTGAACTTATAATGGCTCATGAAATAATTTTTTACTATTATAGGTCAAAATAACCCTTTTAAAATTTAAATGTTACTACAATCTACCCACCTTTAAACAAATGTCGGCCTCGACATACCCAGATTAAAGTAAAGTCAGAATAAACTTGGATACAATTATCTCATCTCTGATTCCTTCTCCTATGTAGCATATCTTTCTGTCATATTATTTCACTGAATTCTAACCATATGAATCTATTTACTTCTTAGCTTTCTGACATTATAGGCTAATATTCTCTTTGATTTTTTCCCTATAGTTCATATGCGGACGTACCTCGATGTCTTCAGCAGATATCCTATTTTTAAATGTTGACTGTTAAAATTTTTTTTGAAACAACCGACATACCTCCACGCCGGCCCCACTTCACGTGATCTCTCCAAACGACGCTTTGCTTGGCACAGTAACTTCCATCAGACAATTCAAAGCGATAAAAAGAAAGAGATACGAAAAAAATGACACTTACACTTGCTCATTCGCTTCGACTCCAACTCTATCATTGCGGTTCAACTTCGTTTCTTCACAAAGACGTCTAGGGTTAGGCCTTCATCTTCTCTCTTCGTCGTTGCCGTTCGCTCTCCTTGTTTCGCAGGAGACAAAGAGATTGCACGCACCGTCCCTTTCGCTCCATCATTGCTGTTCGACTTCATTGCGTGCCCTAGCCCTCTTCCGCCATCCTCCCGCCTGAGCCTCCTCCGCCGCCATCTCCGCCGCCATCTCCGCCGCCGCCTGCCAACGCCGAGCCCTTGCGTGATCTCCGTCTCCCCTCCCTGCCCGACCGGGGCTTTGCCTGATCTGCCTCTCCCTCTCTGTATATTAATATAATAAATGTCTATTATTATTATTAATATATATAATAATATAATATTATATGTAAAAAAGAAAAGAAAAGAAAATATTTCAAACAGATGTCGAAGACGCCGGCCGTCGTACCTTAGGTCCGACCGGGATGGTTTCAAAATTCGAAGACCTGCGCTGTTGATTTTTAATCCGTGCAGATGATTTTAATAATTGAAGACCTCACGCAGTCGATCTTAGATCCTGGTGAGATGGTTTGAAATCAAAGACCCTACACCGTCGACCTTAGGTCCGGGTAGGAAGAATTACTGCAGAGCCGTCCCGATTTCTCCCTCGGTGGGGAGGTGATGCTGGGAGGCTGCTGAAATTTCAAGAAAAATTATAGAACCTTTTGTAACAAATTTAGAGCAATTAAATTTGAATTTTCAATTAATCAATAGAAAAATTTGATTAAAATTATTCAATAAAAAAATTGATTGATTAATTAATTAGATAAAATTCATGAGTTGTTTAAAATACGAGCAATTTAAATTCAAGAGCATTTGAAAATCCAAAATTTTTTAGAAATATGTGAACATTTTAAATAAAAATTCTGGACCAAAAAATTTTTAAAATGTGAGATCAAATTTTTACAAAAAAAAAAAGAATGGTTTGTATTCAAGTGCTATCAATTAAATCGAGAATACTAAAATTTAATGGTCAATTAGAGCAATTATAAAACAAATGCAATAAAAAGAGGGAAGAAGAGAAGTTTCCACTAAATGACATGTACAACTTTAATTGCTAACTTCCCAAATCTCTTGTACAAATTGCTCTCCAAAATTCTCAAACTCTCCAAACCCTCAAACTCTCCAAAAAACTCTCAACTGAACTCTACAAACTGCTCTACAAAGCTCTCCTGTACAAGCTTCTACGGCTACTTGTAGGCTCTATCTTTTGCAATTGAAAGCCTAAAAAAAAAACTGCAACTACTGGCTACGAACACCTGCAAACAAACAAATGAAGGGTCAGTACGTCATAAATAAATTGAATGAATGCTGATAAATCTAAGCTACTGTAGGTAGAACTAGAAAGCAAAAAAGTTAAGTACGAAAAAAGCTAGTAGTGCAAAACTGCTAAAAAAAATAAACAGGTAGAGAAGTGGACTACTGTAGTGGGAAAAAGACTACGAGCACAAATCAAAACAACTAAAACACTAACACTAGTGTCAAAACTCCGAAGTATCAAAATTATAAACTCAACAAACTCAAATAAGTTTAGAACAAATCTCCAAATCTCCAAAAAAAAAAAGAGTTCAGAACAAATCTCTAAACAACAAAATTCAAAATTTTTTGGGCAGCCTTGTTTGTAGGAATTTGGTTGTAAAACCCACTACTCGGCAACTTTCGTAGGAAAGTCGTAAGCCCGACCTTATGGGGAAGTTTTAGGTAGAAATTGACCTAACTCCTAACCCCCAATTAAAACCCCCAGCCGCTTCTAATAGAAGTTGTAAGTTCGACTCCTGAGGGCAAATGTTTATGTGATAATGCAACCCTAAACCTCTCACTCGGGCATCCTAGTCTAAAAGCACTAGGTTGTAAGACCCACAACTCGGGTCACTTATCTTAAAATGCTAGGTCGTAAGACCCATCATTATGCAACTTTTAAGGAAATAATAAGACCTACCTAACAAAAATATTTGGACTACCTTCAATTTAGGCCGTAAGTCCCACTAATTCAGATTACTTTATATGAAAGTTATAAGTCCCAATCTAAATTTAAATCATTGGGCATCCTAGTCTATAGGAATAGGTTATAAGATCCGCTATTGGGCAACTTCTAACTGAAGTCGTAAGTCCCACGTTTTAGGAAAATTGTTAAAATAAATAGCAATGATCCTAAACCCCAAACAATCAAATTTTAATTTGTGGGCATCCTAGTCTATAGGATTAGGTTGTAAGACCCACTAACGAACAACTTCTAAGTGAAGTCATAAGACTCACGTTTTAGGAAAATTGTTAAATAAATTACAATGACCCTAAAACTCAAATTTAACAAAAAAAATTAAATTTAAACCTATGGGCTTCTTAGTCAAAAGTATTAAATTGTAAGACCCGCTTTTCAGGCTACTTCCTAAGGGAAGCCATAAGCCCTACCCAAATAATTAAAATTTTCGGGCAACCTCGCTGTAGAGTTAGGTTGTAAGACCCATTTTTGACAACTCATAAATAGAGCAGTAAGCCCTTTTCCAAATAAAAATCTTGGGCTACTTTCTACGAAAGTCGTAAGTCCCAAATCAAATTTAAATCCCTGGACAACTGCTAATTGTAGCCGTAAGCTTCAAACTAAACAAATTAACAGGCAACTCCTAATTAGAGTCGTAAGCCCTAAATTAAATAAATTAACAGGAAACTTCTAAGGAAGCCATAAGTTCCAACCCAAATTAAACTAAATTAAAATCCACACACATCTCCACTTCAGTTTACTCAGGATCCCTGAGAGGAGGCAACCCATGGCTGCTAATCAGATTCCCTGGATACTATGGTCAATGATTGTTAGTATTGGTAGACTGGAATTATGTTATACACGGGACGACGGAACCATGAGATCTTGATCGGGTTTATCTCCATTTTTACTAACTATTGAGACTAAAAATATCTAAAATTCATTCATCCTTAATCGAGAGTTCTCTCTTACATAGTAAGTGGGGTAATTAACTATGAGGGCTTGCGCTCATAAGAAGTAAGGACCCCAGATCTATAAACCCCGACACTACACTCAGGGGAAATTTGGTTAACTAAAATCTGACTTAAGGGAAATGGAATCCTACAGCTGCAAAGCGGGATTCATGCATTCGTGTCATTTTTCTTGAGCCAACATCAAAATTAGAAATCCGTTTGCTTAAAAGTGATATGTCTAACACATTAATGAATATCTGACATATGATATTGCAACTGTAACCTGTAGGCGGCTTTCCTAATCCTTTTAACCACTTCCAATGGTCCAATATACATTAGACTTAACTTTCCTTCCCAAATATTCTAATGCCTTTCATCGGTCGGATATTCACATATACAAAATCTCATATCTAAAATTCTATAGCCCGATACTTAGCATCAAATTACTATCATTATCTGTCCTGTATAGCTTTCAATTTATCTTTGATCAAACATATCTTTTCACTAGCATCATCAACCAAGGCTAGCCCAATCAAATGTCTCTCACCACCTCTGTCTATGATAAGAGAGGTTCTGCATTTTTTACTATATAAAACTTTATAAGGAGCCAAACCTATGCTTGATTGAAAATTGTTATTTTAAGCAAACTTTATCAATGAAATATGATCTTTCCAGCTACTCCCAAAGTTTAGAACATAGTATCAGAATGTCCTCCAATACCTGAATAGTCCTTGCAGATTATCCATCTATTTGTGGATGAAAAATTGTATTAATTTATAGTTTTGTGCCCAGTCTTTGCTGAATATCCCTCCACAGTCTGGAGGAAAATCTATCTTCCTTGTTATACTATAACCTTTAGTATTCCATGTAATATAGTAATCTCACACACATATATCTGTGCCAATCTATCTATAGATGAGACTATTGGATCAGAATAAAACGAGCTTATTTTGTTAAACGATCAACAATAACCTAAATAACATATATCCCTGTCTTGACTTGGGAAAATCCATAGCAACTTCTTTCCATTTCAACTCTGAAATGGGTAATGGTGGCAAAAAACTCCAGGTCGTTGATGCTTTGTCTTCACTAACTTATATGACTTCACATTTAGGCTTCGTTTGGGACGGCTGCAGCTGTGGGTAAAGCAGGTTGTAAAGTTATTGTCCAGAAAGTTACTTTATAAATTTGCTGTACGTAAATTAATAAATTTTGTTTGGGTAGTATAATTGCCGAGTTGCTGGGCTGTTGCTGTATAACAACAAATTACCTTGATACCCTTCTATATATTAGCATGAATTTTTTTTATTAAATATAAATGAACTCTTAATTTTTTTTAAAACTAAATAATTTATGAATTTTAAATATAAATGAACTCTTAATTTTTTAAAACAATGTAATATCATATTTTAAAATAAACTAAGAAAATATTTGATAGATATGTTTGATAATTACTATTTATAAAGGACATTTTTTATCAAGTAAATTGCAGGCAAGGAAAAAACGGATTAGCAAAGTACTTTGAGAGTTGCAGGCAACTGAAGAACTCTTGAGAGGTATTGTGTTCAGCAAATTGCAGCTTATATGTGAGAAGCTCAGCCGATACATAAAAGAAGGCCTAACTGCTCAAGATGAAGGGTAGGATGTCTCCCCTCACTTTAGCTCTCGCCCGCGTCTCTCTCCTTCTCGTCTTCTTTCCCTTCCCCACTTCACATTTTCACACGCAAGAGAACTTCACCAAGGAATCTCCACTCTCTCAAATGAATTTCTAAATTTGGATCCTCTCAATTTTGAGCAGATTTGGGTGATTAATCTCTGCAAACAAGCAGGATAGAGGAATCTCCTACAGAAAGAGATCATTCAAAGTCCGAGAACTAACGCATCATCGTCGTTGTCGTCGCCGACGGCGTCGGTAGCGCTGGCGTTGGCTCTGTCTTACTCAGGGAAGATGATGGAGAGCACGGGAAACAAAGAAGTATGTGAGGCAAGTGGGGAGGCACAATAATACGGACCTGCATCTGGCGGCAAGTGTGGTGATCTGGTGGCAATGCATAAGATCATGAGCGAGATCGATTCGCCGATAATAGGAGGCGGGAGGGGGAGGAGTTTGACGCAGAGGTGGCGAAATATCTTGAAAAGATGAAGGATAATTTTTACATTTTAGCATTTCAGAATCATGGAAAGCAGTGAACCGCGCCAGAAATTTTGGGTCGCAAAAAGCAGGCTACGGACATGAAAATTTCTCTATCGCCGGCGAAACGCATCATCCCAAACAGAAGGTGGCGTGCGTCTCAAACCGTGCCGCAGTGGAGACGGCGTCCCAAATGCGCCCTTAGATA